GATTTTGGGCATTTTTCTCTTATCATATAGAATATTGTCTAATCTTTACACCAAACTTTAAAACTACGTTGTTTATAAGCTTATAATTGGTAAAATAAATGAATTGTTTACCGAATCAGTTAAAGAATAAATGTCATTTGATTAGACATATCTACAATCAAGCAATTATTTTTCTTTTATCAATGTCTTTTTTTAAAAGCAAATGTTCCATTGGCTATAGGAACAAATTGAAGCTGTTATTGATAGGGATTGAAAAAAAAATCATATATACGAATAAAATCTATAAATTAATTTAATAGATATTTATCAATGAAATAAATAGATATTTAAATATCTGTGTGTTAATGAATATGAATACAGATTTAATAACATCTGCGTCCGCAGATATTCATATCTATTAATAAATTATAAAAATAATTTAAATATTATTATTTTATTATACTTTATCTTTTACCTTTTAAAAAAATTAATCTTTACATATTTTTTTCTTTTTTTAAAAAAAAATTTCTTTAAAAAAAAATCTTTCATGTTTCATTCAAATTTTATTAGTCATTTCATATTTAAATTCTTCAATATTTTATTCCTCACTTCAATGATTTCACAGTCCAATTCTAACAAATTAGTCTCGTCATTCCTCTATTAGACCAATGTCTCACTTCCTACTCCTATGCCGTCCACTCTTCAATCATAACTCATAATTATAATATCTTTTATTTGTTTGGTTAAAAATGTTTGGATCTAATTATATTTTGGTGAATGAGAAAAAAAATTAATGTGATAAAATTTTATTGTTAAATTAAAATCGAATTAGATGTTATGTGATAATAACTTTTTGTATCTTTAAAAGAAGTTAAAAATATTTTTTATAAAAAATTTATTATCCATAAATATCTGTTAATATTCGCAAATACCTTAAAATCAACGGATTATCTGCATAAATATGAGATGGATATGAATATCATATTTATTTAACGGGCAGATACAGATATCATAATCATTGATGAATTTTATCATATTCATTTACAAAGATATCCATTTACATTCCTAATTATTAATAAATTTTATCCATATCCATATACTGTAAATACAAATCATAGCTTATTACATTATGTCTTTTAATACGATCCACCATTACAAAGAATTAGGATTGGTAGATAATGAAATCATTGATTTTGTTAATATACTTTTATTCATGTGAACTCTACTTTCTCAACAATATTAGATTATGAGGCACTACATTGTAGTCATTTAGTGAAACCTCGTTCTTTTTAAGTGTTACAAATTGATCTTCTTTTGTAAACAGAAATACCATCTTAGAATTGGTAGATAATGATATCATTGATTTTGCCGATATACTCTTATTCATGTGAATTCTACTTTCTCAACAATATTGGATTATGAGGCACTGCATTGTAGCTATCTAGTGAAACATCCTTCTTTTTAGAAATACCATCTTAGTGTTTTTTTTTTCTTTTTGACCATATATCATTTTTCATGCAAGGTGATGGTGAGTTGACAATGCCACCTGATTAGGACTATTAAAAAAGTCATCGATCCAAACCGACCGATGAAATCATTATGTTAGACTAGTGAATGGAACTTGTGTTGCTCAAACAATTCTAAAACTTAACCAAGTGACAAATAAATATAATCGAAATTGAAACTGAAAAGAAATTGAAAATGAAAAATACTAAAACAAATTTAAAATATTTGATTAAAAAATTCAAAAATATATTTTCTTTAAAAGATGGTTAGAATTGGAAAAAAAAATCTTCTAGCAATTCGATTTTGAATAAATGAAAGCAATTCAATTTTTAGTTTAATATAATTTGGTTCGGTTATGTAACCAAACAACCTTACACACGATGACCCATACACAACTTATATCACTACTTAAACCAAAAAAAAAAAAGTAATAACACTCTATGCCCAAAGTAAGAAAATAGACTTAAATAATGTTATAATAATTCATTATTATTCATGTAAAAACTAATTTATTTTCAACTATTCATTTTCTAGGTGAAACGGCTATAACCTTTTCTTCCTTTTGAAACCAAACCCAGGAAGAGGTGAACAATGAAAACAATGTCACAGACAGCAAATTGACAAAATATAGAACAGATAATGTACATAGAAACCATTAATCTACAAAGAACTCTAAGTATCAAAACAGTGATGTACAATCACATGAGTTCATTATAGTAAAATATAAATTTTGTAACTGTCAAACCAGTGCTTGTATTTGACATCACCTTCTACTCAACAGAATGCTGCAGACTTGACACCCCTGATACCTGACACCTGTGGGAAAAAAGCAGGTTTCAGAAAAGATCTGATTGGGCTAAGATTTCAAAATTAAACTCAACCCTTAGACACACTATTAAGATCAATAACACTAACTCAAATTGAGAAATTCATTTTACAGACAATCTAATAAGACTTCCTCTTTGAAATATAGACATTCGCAACCAAAATATCAAATATACAATTGTAATAATGGATAGTGCACCACCCATAATGCATGGTTTAAGTTCTGAGGAGGTGCATGTCACAATACAGACACATAAGAAAAATGGCAGGTGTTAAGAACCCTAGAATTGGATTCCAAAAGAATAACAATTTTATTCAGACAATAGAAAGGATTAGGAGACAAAAAGCAATTATCCGACCAAGAAAGTGAACATTGCAGCATTTTGGTAAATAATATTAGTTAAAACAGAGAGAAAAAGCATTTCGTAAAATCAAACAGCCCCTTAGATTTACTAGTTTTTGGCCTATAACCTCTTTTACTAGCTTTTAAAATAAGCCTCAAATGGACAACTTATAGTTGAAAAACAGACTGCCAAGAAGTTAAATAATCTTATAATCTTATAAAATAATAATAAACCCCCTCATAGTATGTACTTTATTTCACTTTAGCAGATTAGTAAACCTTCCAAGCAACAAATAGTTCAAAATGAATCACAAAAATGTTTATTCTACTATAATATGGATGCAAAGTTTTAATCAATGCAATTTGAGCTTGCTGCAATAACAGTCAACTTCTGAAATTTTAACACCTCATTACATAAAGAAGGTTCTGTTGTAGCAATGTGTTTCAGATGAAAAAGGAGTTGGGCATAAATAGTTTTTTCTTTAACTTTTTCTTTCTAAGTCAAATATAAAAGATCCTTCTTTTTCATCTGAAGATAGTTGTATAAACGCATTGCTACAACAGAACCTTCTTTGTTTGCACAAGGTACATGTTTTCTTTCATAGGTTATGACATAGATCAATAAGGCAAACACATCCACAAAATCAGAACAAACATCATCATACCATATTCCCCAACTTATGCACCAAACAAGCATCACAAAAACAAATGAACTAATGTTGTCAATTGCGGATCACTATTTGTTCAAACTTATGCACCAAACATCATCATACCATATTTCCTATTGTTCAAACTTTGCTATTTAGAATACTATAGTGACACTATTTGAGAACACTTTGTACTACATAGCGTGTCACAGGATACAGAGCAATGGCGGTTTGTTCAAATTCTGTTACACTGCAATTTTATTATAGTGGATTACGGAAAATAGCATATTGCCAACAACCCGGTATAAGAAATAGCGGATAGCATAGCAGGGAAATAACAAAAGCTGCAAAGTGGTTGAAATAAAAAAGTATATATAAAATAAAGCATGTTGCACACAAATAAAAGCTACATAAGCTGAAATTAATTTGAACAAGAGAAGGGGAATATAATAAAAAGGAAATACTTTGGAGGAAAAAACTGAGAAATAGAAGAAAGAAAACAATAGGAAAAAAAACGAGATATAAAAAGAAAAAAGAAATCAAATTAGGGGTGAAAGGTGAAGGGGACAGATGAGGGGTTACCGAGATTGTGGAGTTTAGGGTTTATATAAGACCCCGTCTCATCATCAACTAAGCATTGTTTTATTTGTTGTTTGCAAAAATATGTCATGTGCAGCTCACATGATATTTTTAATGTTATTGCTAGGGAAAGAGAAATAAGCTCTGCTACATAAGCCATAACGGCCATCACCGGCATGCAAAAAGCAACCACTATTGCTATGGTAGCAAACTCGTAATAGCGTATCGGCTAAGGCTTATGTTGCGGGTTGCTCAAATCTTGATATGTAATAGCATACCAACACTGCTATGCTATAGCGCCGCCATTTGCCAATACTGAAAAGAAGGTAACCCTAACTAGCAGCATCACAATCCATACAACATAACTGAAATTGGAAGTTTTGAAACCATGTTCTTTCAACAATTAAGTCACATTCAATCAAAGTTAAAATTTGTTTCCCTTTAAAATTAGTTCCCAAATATTCTTTAGCTACATACACAAAAGAAATGCCAAATATATTTAACCTGCCTCGATGACCTAACCCTAAAACTCAACAAACTTCCAAGTTTAAATCACAAAAAGTACCACCATAAAAATCACATTTAACCCAGATAATCAAACAGAAACTCCAAAAATGGTTTATCACAAGAGTAATCCAGAGCCAAACTCAGCATGAACAGGCGCTTTAAAACTACTTCCCCGTTTTACCAGAGCCAATTGAAATGAGTCAAACATATGAAAAGCATAAACTACACTATTACTAGTAATAAGTCATCAATCACAAAAGAAATGCCAAATATATTTAACCTGTCACGACAACCTAACCCTAACATTCAACAAATTTCCAAGTTTAAATCATAAAAAGTACCACCATAAAAATCAAATTCACCACAGATAATCAAACAGAAACTCCAAAAATGGTTTAACACAAGAGTAATCCAGAGCTAAACCCAGTATGAATATGCACTTTAAAACTACATCATTTTACCAGAGGCAAATGCAATGAGTCAAACATATGAAAAACATAAACTACACTATTACTTGTAATCATTCAAAACAATCACAATAAAATAGAACCATAAATCTAACACCCAAAAGAAAACAAGAAGCTCCAAACTTACATATGAAAGAGGACTGATTCTCAGTCAAGATCTTCTTGTCTGGTCTCTGACCCAAAATTCTGATTGCCCCTATTCTCAGCATTGGACTGCTCACTATTGCTATTGCTGTTACTGTTGTTGTCAACATTCCCAGCATTACTTGTCCCCGCAGCAGAAGGCGCCCTAAATGGCATAAACGGCAAAGACACCCTAAACCTCCTCACAGAATCATTTCCACCAGTAGCACCAGAATCACCTCCACCACGAGCCCTCTGCTCATAATCAGGGTCATCTGTTGGCAACTCATGACGACAAACAGGGCAAGAATTATGCATTTCCAGCCACGGCAAGATACAATCAGCATGATAAATATGCTTGCACGGCATCTGCTTGGCCTTTTCACCAAGGACAAATGTGTCTTTGCACACTGCGCATTGCGACGAATCGGACTCCAGCAACTCCCCGGTAACTTCGATAACAGGAAGTTTTTCCACAGCAGATTTTGCCGCAGGAGGAGTCCCACGCCGACTCGGATCGTTCTCAGCCAATTGCTGGATCAGATCCTCAAGCCCCGGTCCAAAGAAATAATCCCCTGGATTCGCGTTGCCGGGAAACCGGAACTGACGAGCCGCATCATCGCCGTCGTTGATGAAGAACTGAACATTGCCTCCTCCCGCCCTCATGTTCTGAAGGTAATTCTGGATGAAGGCGACCGGGTTAAACGCGTCGCCAAAAGGTGCAGGCTGAGACGGAGACGACGACAGCAAGGCGGAGAGATCATTGAATGGCTGAGGAGCTGCACCACCAGAGAAAACGAGGGGAAAGGAGAAGCCAGCGGCGGGAAAGTCGGTGGTGTGGGAGAAGAACGGAGGGATAGGGTTGGGATTAGGGTTAGGGTTCGGAATTGGAGCTTCGAGTTCCTCAAGAAAGGTACTGTTGCAATTGGGACAGATTAGATCGGCGGTGGGGGTTGAAATGAAGGCTGTGCGTTGGCACTGGTGGCAAAAGTATTGACGGAGTTCGTCGGAGTTTCCGCCGGGGTGAGGGTTGTGGTTGCCGCCGGCGGAAGACATGTCAGCGAGAAAAATGAAGAGAGAGAAAGAAGAGAGAGAAAGGAAAAGAGAAGGAAAAATGAAAAATGAGAGACCACAATCAACGTGAAATGAAAAGAGAGGAAGAAGAGAGCTGAGTGGCAAAATCGTAAAAACCAAACAATTGTAGAAAAAACTATTTTAAATGAATCCATTGGTTAAACAATTATTTAAAAAAAAAATTAAAAACAGTGTATTTAGTCTTTCTATATTCATTTGATATATCAATTAAATAAGCTTAGAAAAAAAACATAAATTAAATAATAAATTTTTGAAAATTTTGAATACTAGATTAAATAATAAGTATATTTTATGAATAGTATATAATATATTTTCTTAATCCAAAATTTAAGTCGACTGAGTTTTTTTCTTAGAAAAAGTGATATAATAGAAAAAGAGATATGTTTAATAAAATGATCTTATCAATATCCATTTATTCATTCTTATCTCAAATATAATGTATAAATTGTTAGAAATTTGGTGTGATAATCTTGGATATCTTCGAGAAATCGTGTCCGTACACTTTTCGAACAAAGTATTTCGACCATATTATTTGCTTGGGTTCACGAAATCTTTGTGGAGATAATTCTTGAAGAACAATCTGCTTCTGGCAATAAAAGAAGCCAAATGACTCCTTATATAGAAGATTAAATAACAGAAAACGAAAAGGGACATCTGTTCAAAATTTTTGAACGGGTTCATCTTTTCAAATTTAATTTCGAACGGGTTCAAACGTTCAGAAAGATTTCGAACAGATTCAACTGTTCAGAAAACGTTCAGCGAGACCCCAGCCAGGGGCTCTGCCCCGCACCCCGCCAGGGGCTTCAACCCCAGCGGGGCGCTGCCCCGCACCCCGCCAGGGGCTCCGCCCCTTAGAACCCCTTTTCAATTATTCGCATTCAATTGCACGTTGACTCGACGAGCGTGCACTCCGCACTACCCTAACTCGTTTTCAAGCTTAACGTATAATTGCATCGGCCTACAGTAAATCACATTACTACTAAAATCACCAACATAAATATTGCATTATAAGTAATATAAATAAGTAATTCCCTTATAAAAAAAAATAATATAAACAATAATAATATTAACTAAAAAGTGCACATTTTTCTATAAAAATATATAATATTTATTAAGAATCGTATCATTTTATTTTGTTTAGGTTGTTCAATTTGAGATGAAATAAATATTAAATATATTATATAAGATAGATATATATAAGTCTGTGTTTGATTTTGCGATGGCAATAATTAATTTTAACATAATTGAATTTATTAAAATTGATTTTTTTGAAATTGAATCGATTTATGTTTAGATACACTAATATAAATGTGCTATTGATATTGTTTGAATAATTACGAAATTGATTTTGTATGTATAATTACGAAATACTAAGATATTAATATGTATTTTAATAAAACATAAAGCATAAAAATAATTAAATGTAATTTTTTCAGATTAACCATTCAGAAGAAGTTATAAATCATCTAGAACTTTCGCATCACATGAGAATTACCGTACGGGAGAATACAAGTGATCCAAGTCTCATATGCATCCAACGGCTCCCTACATTACACGCCTAACCATTAATAAGTTGTTATTAAATGTGTAGTCACGTTATTGTATGGTAGCACTTACTTGTTTTTAATGTTTTTGCTAATTTGAAGATAGTTGTTATAGTTTGTTTGTGTATTTGTAATTTGCTTATCATTTAATATTCGCGTGCTTGTACTTTATTCGTATTCCAGTTGTATTATAATTGCTTCTACTATTGTGTTGTTGTACCATTGAGAACCCTCATTACTCAATAATTACAAGTCACTAGTGGAAAAAAGGCTTCTTAAGTCGGTTAAAAATGACTTTTTAAGTCGGGTCCGAGCCCGACCTAAGAATTACCGACATAAGAAGTTTTGACTTTTTAAGTCGGTTGTGGACCTGACTTAAGAAACAACTTCTTAGGTCGGTTAGGCAGAACCCGACTTAATAAGTCTAGCCTACAGAAACCATTTATACTCGACCTAAGAACTTACTTTCTTAAGTCGGGTATAATTAACCGACCTAAGAAGTTGTTTTTTTTTTGAATAATCACACAAATCAGATGCAGTTTTCCCATTTAACAATTTATCCCCAAATTAGACTATCCAACTCAGTTTATCCCCAAATTAGACTATCCAACTCAATCAACAATTTATCCCCAAATCGTTATGTGTTTCTAATCATTAATCAGTGCTTTGCTATATACAATGCTATGACAATTTACTTGAAAGAATGCTACTTAAAAAAAGAGTACTACAACTTTACATTTAACTACCTGCATAAAACTAAACTGAAGGGAAAGATGGACAAATTGACCAAGCTATAAGATGGACATAAATACAAATGATGATTTGTGAATTGCTATAAGAACAATTAACTAGAACTATTGCTATCCACAAAAGACCTTGTAAATAGGAGAGCTGATCCATTAACTCCTCGAAGAACGAGCAGCCTTGAGTCCACACAAGTTCCACACACAACCTTTGACAGATCAAATATTTCAGGGGGAATTTGAGTTCTTAGTTCTTGAAGAACATTTTTGGCTATATCAATGTTTTGATTTAAAGGATCATCAAGATTCATTGTCACATCAATATCATCAGATGCTAGCTTGGCTGCAGGGAGACTTGATGGAAACTCCTTGAAAGGGGTTATTTTTCTCCATTTCTTGCTAGTAAATTTCTGAGCTAAAGCCTCCTCATTGCCGGAGGGGCCAAAGGAGAGCTTCTCTGATGTACTGTCTTGCTTCAGATATAATCGTCTCCCAGCTCTTAGTGTAAATGAAGAGTTCACCTGCACTTTTCCTCTTTTACCAGCTTTGTCATGAGGCCAGTCCTGACCAATCATGACTGTGAATCCAATGTCAGAGACGAAGGAAAGTTTTGACTTCAATTTCAATTCTCGTTTAACAGTTAAATGCAAATCCCCAACTAGTACACGAACTGTAGGTTGTCGAAGAGTCAGCCCAACATGCTTCCCAGTGCAGTACAATAGACGCCATTTGCCAAGAAGCAGCTCCAGCCAATTCTGGGCACATTAATAACGGCATATAAGTTGGCATAACATTAGGATTATCACAGTTTTAATTTTTAAAATCTTGACATATTTGCAAGATAATCACAACTTAATGTAGGGGGGTCAATTAGTAAAGTATTCACATTTCAAATAGGTAGATACTGCTTGAGGCATACCTTATCCTCTGAGAAGGTTTGGTTGCAAGCAATAAAGATAAAAGGTGCCAACCCGCACCCCAGTTCCTATCAAGCATCTAGAAGAAAATAATATTAAAAAGGCATTACACGGTTTCAAAACAAGAACGGAACTCAAAATACCATGCCACTTTCACAGAAGAAGACTATGTCGTATACTTACTTGTAAGCCAGCATTTCCATATGGAGAATTTCTACCAAGGATTTCTAGCATAAGCTGTCGCAAACATGAAGGATCATTCCCCTGAAGTTTGATGTAGCCAGAATTATCATTAGAAAATTCACATCATTGCATGACCAGATTTATCATCTATTTCACTAAGTTTGAAGCACATCTGTCTACATCTTCGTTAGAATATATTATAATATTTGTATTTGTTAGGGTAACTTTGATTATCTTTGACTTTTTAGTTTTGGTTTCAATATATCCTTATATCATGACTTGTTTCCATATTTAATTTGAATTATCAGTTCTACTACTAAATATTTTATTATGGTAATACCAGAAATGTAATAGAAAATCTAATTTGAGGGTGAGTGTCCACTTACAGAAGACCAAGAAATAGTGTTTCCCAAGTAAATTACTACATATCATGGCCATTTAATTTAACTATTAATTTAGTATTATTCTCAAAAGACCATTTATTTCAACAACAGAATCTTCTAATTTTCATGATAATGGTTTATGTCATGCTATAAATGAATATACGCAAATGAACAGCTTACAAAAAAGGGGAAAAATAAACAAATTATTTAGGTCTTAGTGTGTATAAGAGGCATAATACAGACAAGAAGACATCCTCGGGTACTTCCTTCATAGTCTACAAAGCATTTGAGTCAAGTAGTTTTTTCTACTTTAAAAAATGCACTTTTTAAACAAACAAGGGGCTAAAACTAAGCAAGAGATTAACTTGCCGTACCTTTGTGAGGAACAATTTGAATTTTGCAAAGATCAAAGGATCCATAAGTTCTCCCATTACCATTTTTGCCATTATGAAACCCACGCATCTTTGCATCACAGATAAATCAGGTATCAAAAAGATTATATAGCTGCACGCAAACTTTACCGACAATTTCCTAAGCCATACCTCATGTCAAATGCAATCATCATTTGTCGCCTGTCCATGTTTTCCATAGAGCCGCTATTTGAACCATCCTCGCAAAAGTCAGCAGAATTTCCCAGAATACCTACCTGTTAAGTAAACACTTTAGGTCAAACCAAGCATGAGAGGAAAGGTTGACCTGACCATACATGAAGAAACACCAAATATTGATATCCAGTAACTTGGATTGCATAGATTACACGTATAGAGCTAAGAATTATCAGTGCAGTGGAAATTATCATGCAAGTATATGCCATCATCATATATCCTATTTGTTATCTTTCCCTTCATACAGTCTGTTACATTTCTTATCAGTAATCAATTTTAGCAAATCCAGAACTATCACAGTATGTTTGGTTCCTATAATGTGAAACAACAAAAATGTTCCAACTGATTATATAAATAAATTTCTAGGTTTTTCTGTGACTACAGCACAAGCGATGCACAAAACCTTCTCTAGGATCGACCAGACTGCACCACACTCTACATAAAAGACACAGAAAAACTGCAAACTGCAATCCCCGTGGAATCAATGGCTCTAGTCCTACAGATGCCAAATGTGTGAAGGCCTGCCCATATGCCTAAAGGTAATACAACCCAGAGAATGTGGGAATACTCAGGGTAACTCAGTTTAAAGAACAAAGAGAAAACTAAACATAAGAGAAGATTCCCAAAAGAAACTCAAAATTTAATTTATTTATCCAATACTGGTTTGTCACCAGCTTACTTGAACAGATAAAAAGGAAGACTTCATTTGCATAAAGTATTGTAACTTACCAGACACCTTTCGCCCTTTTTGCACCTTTACAGCTGAGACAAGCACCGATAATATGCGCCTTAAATGCCTGATGTTTCCAGTACTAACACACTCACGCACTTCCTTATATAAGCAACTCCATACCAAACTCAACTCTTTGGGCTCCATTGTCTCGCATAATTTATTAAACACGGTTTCTATGATGTTCAAAATGGTTTTTGACTCTGAAATGAGGCAGATAGAGATAATCAAATAATGTAATCTAACCCATTACAAATCATGTAGAAACATAGTAATATTTACAAACAACAACATCAGGTGACAGATAACAACAAACTAAGGTCCGAATACTAGGAGACAATATGAGCGGGTTAAAATATCTACTTTTGTCTCTCTTGCCTGTTTTGTCTCTACTTGACTTCCTCCTTATCAAGTCTCTTATTTTCAACTCTACATTTTTTGTTCCATGAGTCTGCATGGTTTCACAACTTTTACTTTATTATATTTCATGTTTGGAACCTAATCATTCATACCTTCTGTTCTATTGCATATTTAATAATATTGGTAGTTTTGCAGCTTTTAATCAAATTTTGTTCCATCTCCATGTAATCCTTTTTGGTTCCAATTTTTTCCCACACGTTGTTGCATACTTCTTTTCAATGTTACTAATATCAAGTAGTTTAGTTGCTTCAATCATATACAAAATGAACATAGTCTATGATCAGAAATCTTATGAAATAAAAGAAAAGTTGAATTGTTATTTTTTACTATAGAACAAACTTGCCTTGGTCGGCTCCATCAGCAATGGTATAAATTGTTTTGCTTGTCAATAATTGTAACACTCGCTCTGCTTTTGAATGGAGCCTTGATGAGTAACCTTTCATGATATTATAAAGCAATAATACAACACCGTCCTTTCGGCATGGAGTCGGCTCCTTCACTGCCTCGGCGATGACTCTTCTAATTCCTGTCCAATCAAACAATATTACAAGCTTTATAGTCACCCAAACTAATAAAATCATTAAATCAAAGAGAAAAGAACATAATTAATTCAACACCATGAAGCATTTTGGAATAGATGTATACTCACCCAGGACAAAGTATCAGGTTGAGATATTGGAAAAGTATCATAATTAATTCAACACCATGTAGCATTTTGGAATAGATGTATAATTAAATCAAAGAGAAAAGAACATAATTAACAATGTATTAGGTTGAGATATTGTTATAATTACTCACCCAGGACAAAGTATCAGGTTGAAGAAGCTTGTCATGAACACGCATGACCTTTATAGTGGCCCAATCACTACCAGTGGAACTGAGTCCATAAGCCAAGAACTTAGCATCTTTGCTAACCGAGAAGTTGTTAAGTGAAATGGTGCCATCTTCACTGAGAACATTGGGATCAAGCAAAGCCTCAGCTTCACCCTCCAAACTATCCTGAAATTAATATACATGAATTCATAAATATGTTTCTACATGACTTTTTTGGCAATTATAAAAAATGTGAAAGTGAAAGGTAACCTGAACATAAAGGACACTCTGAGATTGAAGACCAGTGTAGTGGAAGTAAAAGTACTTATCAGCTCTTTTAAAAGAAGCACTGTAACGAGGATGATCAGAGACCTTTTTGATTATCAAGAACAAGGAGAACCTTTTTTCTGCATAAAGAGTTTCGTATTGTTTTCTTCCCATCATACAAATTATGAAAATCATTCCTACTTATACTCAAATGAGAAAGAAGTTGTCTTTGCACCTGAACTAAACCACCCTTTGGCTCAGATGCCTCTCCAACATTTTCAAGAAAGCAAGGAACTTGAAATGTACATTGGATTGCTTCATAGACAGCTCTTGCAATGGATGTCTTACCTATGCCACTCATACCCCATATGCCTATAAAACGAACGTCATTCAACCCCATACCTATGTACTTGTTCACTTCCTCCACCTTGGAAGCAATCCCAACAAGGTTCGCTGTGCAAGATGGCAATTTAGGAACCAACTTTCTATGTATGTCTTGAGCAATGTTTTCCACTAGTAATTCCTCATGCCTGTACATAACAGAAGGAAAGAAGCAGCAACAAAGCAAAACATAAGCAAATAAAGCAAGAGAGTAAAAAGATAAGGTCGTTTGTTTTACATTGTAACTTCAACTAATGAACATAAGAGAATATATAGATCCAATATTCAGATCAGGAGGTTAAATACAAACTTACTGGCCCTTGGAATCCCATCCAGAGTAACTGGAAACTTGAATCAAAGCATCTTTCCATTTTTCAACCCTAACACTGTGTTGACCAAATTTCTCAGTCCCAATATTCGTTTAGCTCTAACATCGATTGTCTTCAATACTGAATCCGTTAAACCAACTTGTTTCTGTACAAACTCTTTAACTTGTTCTGCATCAGGATTTTCAAGCCACCGATAAGGGTCGGGAATGTTAACGTCGTGATAGTTGTCAACAACAGAGTCATCTCTGCGAGCAATAGGATATTGAATGTTTTGTTCAAAGACATAAAGTGAAGAGAGGCGTGGGTTGTTGTCACGGTGGAGGGAAGGTGGAGCTTTTATGGTAGAGGAGATGAGAGGAAATAGAGAAAAGGAAAGGGTTTAACCGGTGATGTTATTCGAAGATGGTGACAACGGGGAAGGTTTTGGAGAAAGAAGGAGAGAAATAGGGGAATGAAGGTTGTTCTAGGTTTTGGAGATGAAAGGGTTTCTGGGTTCCTGAAATGTACGGTTTGTTGTGAAGAAGAATAAGGGTTTGAATAAAACTTC